CTGCATCCCATCCCATCCCCACCTGTCTCCCTGTCCCCATCCCGTACTTATCCCCATCCCCACTCCATCCCTGCCAGCCACCCCCCCCCGCAGCCCCCCGCCTTTGGGCTGGGCGCTGGCAGGGCGAGAGGGGCGGAGAGCAGCCCCCAAACCAGAGCATCTCCTCTCCCAGACTGGACCATACTGGAGCACCCCCAGTTCAGCCACCGGAGGTTTGGGGGGGGTCTCAGCCTTGAAGCCTCGGAGGACACCGACACCCTTGTCCTCGCCCCTCGCGCCCCAGCGGCCCCCACCTGGGTACTGGAGCGGGATGTCGATTTTGGGGCCGATGACGTAGTGTCCCTCCTCCAGGCTGTGAGCCGTCACCGTCGTCCACTGCCGGCAGGAGTGGACCAGCAGCACGTCCTGGGTGCTCACCCCCTCCACACGCTCGCCTGCCGGGGGGGGACGACGGGGCTGTCACCATCCCCAGGACACCCCCCCACCACCCTCCCCGGGGCACCCGGGGGTGGCCGGACGGACGGACGGCCAGCCGGAGGGATGAGCAGGTGCCCGCTGCCAAGAGCCGCCAGTTGCCCAGGAAACAATTTCTTTGTCCCCCCCTGAAAAGCTGCAGCCGCCGCAAACAACAAGTTTATTGAGACGGGCCGGCACGGGGGCCCCCACCGCCGCTGCACCCCGGCACCCACCGCCGGCATGGCCCCGCGCACCCGCACCCTGTTCCGGAGGGATGGATCCTGCTCTGGAGGGGGGACACCGCCAAACCGGGGTGACCCTGTGCTGATGCCTGTGCACCCCACTCCCCTGCCCCCCCCCCAGTATCCCCAGACTATCCCCGGACCCCCCCAGTATCCCCAGCACCGCCCCCTGCCCAGTGGGGGCAGCCCCGGTCCCCACGGAGAGGAGAGGCCGAACAGCAACAGCCCCAGACCTGGGGCAGCAGCTCGGTCACATCTCACCTGGCCCTCCAGCCTTCCTCCCTCCTCCTCCTCATCACTCCAACCTCCCTTCTCCTGGTGGCTCTAGTCTTCCTCCTCATCATCCCTCCAGCCTTCCTCCCTCCTCTTCCCCATCCCTCTAGCCTCCCTCTCTCCCTCCTCCCTCTACCCTTCCTCTCTCCTCTCCAGCCCTCTACCCT